GCTTTAATCGTCATTTACATCCTCATAAATGTTGTTTACGTCTGTCGGCATCCATTAGGTGAATGAATGGCGTGATGGATTTGTTCTGTCATATTTTCAGCACCTGAACAGCTGCTGTTCTTCCGCCGGAGAGCATGTGCACAGCAGAGGTCACGGCTGCACTCTTCTGCTCTGTGCACTGAACCGTGTGGAGATGATTCTGCCTTGTTGTGATGGATTTTTAGATGCAGCTCTGTACTGGACTGGTGGAAGCCTGCTTGTTTGTGCAACATCAGCTTTAAATGACATTTGAATTAGAATTATAAAGATAGAATGTGGGACGGGATTGAGATCTCAAGTTTTTACTAAAGTGGGAGATTGTTGAATGGATGTGGCTGTCATGGAAGGAAATGTGCTCTACATGCATCATTGAAATAAACATAAATTAAATAATTATAACAGTAAGAATATACTAGGGTGACCATACGTCCTCGGATTTCTAAATTGCCTAATATTTCCGGGTTTGGGCTTTGTTTTACTATTGACGTGCTCTCTACAGTCCTCATACATTATATGTACGTGTATTTCCATTGCTTTGACCGTTCTCTGTAGCCCCCGCGTCCTTGCACGCCACGATTGGTCGATTATGTACAATGCCTGCATGCTATTGGTCAAACTACTTTCTAGTCACTGCCTTCAGCAAGTATGAAAACAATAGGAAAACAAAGCCAAAATCCAGACATGTTAGGCAATTTAGACATGTCCGGGAGAAAGAAGACAAACGGTCACTCCAGTATATAATAATTATAGGAAACAAATCTCCTCTGAATAGGGCTTTAGTTTATTTCTTTTCTAGTTTATTTTTTTTTTACCTTTATTTGTATAGCACTTTATACAATACTGATTGTGTCAAAGCAGCTTTACAGAGTCAAACAGGAAAATAGTTTGTCAATAATGCAAGAGGACAATAACAGAGTCATTTTTCAGCTAAAGTCAGTTCATTGATGATTCAGTGAAGTCATCGTCCAGTTCAGTTCTCTTCCAATAGTGTCTGTGCAATCAGTCAAGCGTCCCCAACTAAGCAAGCCAGAGGCGACAGTGGCAAGGAACCAAAACTCCACCGGTGACAGAAATGGAGAAAAAACCTTGGGAGAAACCAGGCTTAGTCGGGTGGCCAGTTCTCCTCTGGCCAGACGAAACCAGCATGATGTGGTTTAATTCCAGGCTGCAGCACAGGTCAGATTGAGCAGAGGACTCGTCTGGTTCCCGCGGTCTTGTGCCGATGGTCGTCGAGGTCTTTACAGGGGATCTGTCTCTAGTTGACATGGTCTCCGCTGACATTCAGGGCTGTAGAGGTCGTCTCTAAGTGCTGATCCGCCATCTGATCTGGATAATAAATCAACATTTGACTGACTGTCCTCATCCGACTAACCTCATTCGTCCTCAGATTCACAAATGGCAAACCCTCAGTGCAGTCTCTGCTTTAGCACAGACACTGAAACAGCTGTGGCCTTACTGAGGGTGCAACCATGTTGTTTTATTATATAACGGATGCATGCATGCTTTCTCCCATGTACACATCACGTCGTAGCCCATGAGATCTGCAAAATGTTTCATAGTCTGGCCGGCGCTGCTGGCTGTTAACTGGATGATGATGAGGTTTATCGACTTCCTGTGAAGTCATGCATACAGGATCCAAAATGAACTTTTTACCACGCTTGCCAGTGGCTGGTGAAATTTACCATCCATAAATGTTTTTCACGGGCCATGGAACTGTAATTTGCATTATGTTAAGGACAAATTGTCTTTTGTTTTTTATTATTATTATTGACAATGGCATTATTTAGTTTTGTTTTTATTTGTGGCATACAGCATCACAATGCAATAGGTCAAATGATCACGTTTCCATATTTCTACTAATTTGAACTTTTATTTTCTTGCCAAAGCCAAATATTTACTTGCATTTGGTGAGTGTTTATTCTGATGCATATTATATATGCCAAAATAGACATTTGGTTTGCCTCTGATTAAAAAAAAAAAAAAAGCATGCATAATTAGGACATGTGTCACCATATTACTGTAAACAGAATATTTTTGCCTGTTGACATGCATGCAAATGGCTAATATGAGAACAAAAATGTTGCACATTATTTTCCTGGGTAATATCAGAGCGCTTGCCACCAGAAAAACCCTGAAGAGCTCCAAATGCAGACTTTTCAGGTTCTTACTGTTATGGAGCACAGATAAATGTGTAAACACTTTTGGGATATATACCACAAAATGATATATGTGGTAGTCTTTGCCCTCAGTGAGAGCGAATGAACAGTTTGTTAGTGGAGCAGATTGAGAATGATTCAGTCCCGAGGGGAGGGGAGGGGAGGGGAGGGGAGGGGAGGGGGGGGGGTCAGAGAGGGAGAAAGTGAGAAAGAGGCAAAAAAGAGGCAAAAATAGAGACATTATCACGATGCACAGAGATGTATGATTTTTTTTTATCATCTGGTGTTGATTAATTTTGGGGTAATGGAGGCCGTATTTATATCATGCATGTAATAAGTTTCCACATTTACATGCCTTTGGAAGATGCTTCATCTGAAGTGGCTTACATTGCATTCAAGATATACTGTACATACAAGCAGAGCTGGGTAGTAACTGATTACATTTAATCTGGATTACGTAATCAGATTCCAAAAATTAAGTACTTGTAATTAGATTAAATTACATTTTAAAAT